GTACGTTCAAAGAGTTAAATCCGGTTTTATTTTTGGGGTGCTTATTGAATTAAAGAGTATGTCAGACAACACGCAGAGGAGTGGCAGAGGAGGCAATGTTCAGGAGCGAGCAGACGTGGCAGCAGAGGAAGGGGTCGAGGCAGCACTAGTCGCAGCCAGAGGCCAGTGCTCCCGGTGTCATCATCCAGCGGTCGTGTCTCCACCGACAACCCTGCCGTCATCGATTGGTTGACTCGGTCGTCTTCCTCTTCCCAGGTCACCTCTGACACCTACAGCCAACGGTCGGTGGGTACGTCAGACACAACCGTTAGTTGGCATGGCCCGGGAGCAAGCCCACTGAAATCACGTGTCCTCGACCTGCCCCTGTCCTTTGGTGTTCCCTCACCAAGCGAAGTATCGCATGCTGTGGGCTCAGCCCCACTGTACAGTGAGGAAGAGCTAACAGAGGGCGGTCAGGAACGGGGGGAGACATCCGCCTCTTCAGCAGCCAGGCGAAGAAGTACTGGCGAGGAGAGTGGCTCGGTAGCCGGTCTAGAGACAGGTCTGTCTCCTGACCCACACGCAGCCGAGGGGGCTAGTAGTGACGCGGAGACCCTAATTGATGATGATGAGGCTGATCGCACTTGGCAGCCTCGTCGTCATCAGGCTATTGCTTCCGCATCATCAGGAGAAGAGGGTGCCAGCTTGCCAGCGAGCAAAACAGTCGGTGGGTTTGCCCAGGAGGCAGCAGGGTCGCAGCAGCAGTGTCAGTGGAGCCAAACGGCCACGGAGTAGAGCACCAGCTCCACTGCAGCCTACCACCACGGCCAGTAGTGGTGCCGGTGTGCACGGAGGAAGTAGCAGTCAGCCAGTGAGTGAGGAGTAGCGGGGGCAAAGTTTCCTACTCGGCGGTGTGGCAATTTTTCGTCAAGCCGCCCGAGGAAGTAAACGTAGCCGTATGTCGACTATGTGGCCAGAAAGTCAAGCGTGGCCAGGGGGCCAATGTTGGGACTACAGCGTTGCGTCAGCATATGCAGCGTCGCCATTCGGGTGGCCTGGGAAAACCGTGATAAAGATACGGCGGTTCTGCCTGCCCCCGCCCCCGCTCCATCACCCGCTCCGTTACTTGCTCCGTCACCCGACGTCAATCGCCCTCTATCAGCCAGTCAAGGCTCCAACACCTCTGCTGAGGGGAGTTGTCGCTCGTTGGCATCTTCCGCTCGTTCATGCTCCTTCTCCTGCTACTCCTCTTCACGGATTCCGTCAGCAGTCTTTCTTTCTTGGAATCCGTTTCCAAGAGACAACAGTTTGCGAGCACGCACCCGACGGTGCAGAAGCTGAACGTCCTCCTGTCCAAGTTGCTGGTGCTGCAGTCCCTCCCTTTCCAAGTGGTGGACTCAGCACCTTTCCGAGAAATGATGGCTTGTGCCGAGCCGCGGTGGAGAGTGCCAAGCCGGCATTTCTTCGCCAAAAAGGCAGTGCCAGCCCTGCATTCACATGTAGAAGAGATGGTGGGCCAGTCTTTGAGCATGTCGGTCTCTGCCAAAGTGCACGGCAGCGCCGACGTGTGGAGCTGTAAACACGGTCAGGGACAGTACATGTCATTTACGGCCCACTGGGTGAACGTGGTGCCGGCACAGCCGCACCAGCAACTTGGACAGGTCACGCCGCTTTTGCCTCCACGTTTGCACGTCCTTGGTCCAGCAAAGATGTCCGCCTCTACCACCTCTTCTTCCGCCGTGTCCTCAGCCGCCACCCCCCCCGTGCCAAGTCCCATTACCCGACCGGCATATCACATGTGCAGGGCGCAACGGTGTCACGCTGTGCTGCACCTGGTATGCCTTGGCGAACGTAGTCACACAGGGGAGGAACTTCTGAGTGTAATGAACAGAGAAATCGACAGATGGCTGTCTCCGCGCAAACTGAAAATCGGAACCATGTTGACCGACAACGGAAAGAACATGGTGTCTGCTCTGCGTCAAGGAAGGTTGTGCCATGCGCCATGCATGGCTCACGTGTTCAATCTGGTTGTCAAGCGGTTCCTAAAATCCACCATCCCACTGCACTGCAAGACATCCTTAAAATGTCACGTAAACTTTGCATGCATTTCAGCCATTCCTACACCGCAAAGCACACCCTCCTTGAGCTGCAGCGGCAGAACGGAATTCCACAGCATCGCCTGATCTGCGACGTTGCAACAAGGTGGAATTCAACCCTACATATGTTAGACCGCCTTTACGAACAGCGAAAGGCCATCACCGATTTCCTGATGTTACAAGCGGATAAAGGTACTCCCCTGTGTAACTTAGATGTCAGCCATTGGCAGCTCATGCGTGACACCTGCCGCTTGCTCAGGCCCTTTGAGGAGGCCACGCTATTCGTGAGTCGGCAGGACATGGACTATGGGATGAACGACGTCATTCCTCTGTTGCACGTCCTGGAACAAATGCTGTTAACAATGGCTGGTCAGGGTGCGGTAGACGTGGCGCACAGATCTCAACGCCACATGACCCCTGTGGGGGCAGGACAGGAAGAAGAGGAGGAGGTAGAGGAGGACATTGGTGCTCAGGAATTATTGAGTGAAATGGGTGGTTTTTCCACTCAGCGGACAGGAGTGGAGGAGCAGGAGCATCTGGTAGAGGAGGAGGAGGAGACAGAGGACCCAGACGCACCGTGGCAGTATGCTGTGGAGATGGAGGCAGGGAGTCCCTCGCATTCCTTGGCACAAATGGCCCATAGCATGCTCGGTTGCTTGCGTAGCGACAGCCGAATAATAACCATCAGACAGAGGGATGACTTTTGGCTGTCCACCTTGTTGGACCCTCGCTACCGTTCAAAAATGGTGGCCTTTTTCACACCTGCTGAGAGGGAGGCCAAAATAAAGTACTATAAAAACCACCTATGTAGTCAGTTGGTCTCTGCCTTTCTGCGCCAACGTCCATCCTCAGACACTGTGGGCCCTGTGCGCTCGCGTTCCGCTGCCATGGCAGCAGGGGAGGGGTGGGGTGGTAGGAGCAGTGGCAGCTCCACCAGCAGCGGCTGCCTCAGTCTGCTGCAGTCGATGATGAGTAGCTTTCTTCACCAGCGCAGTGAGGAAACTACTAACCAGCAGCGCAGCAGCAGCAGCAGCATCAGGTGGACCTGGAGCAGGACCTCAAACAACAGGCTTGGGCCTACTTGGACAGCACCCCTGCCAACCGAGGTAGACAATCCCCTTGACTACTGGGCAACGAAACTTGACCTTTGGCCCCAACTAGCTGAATTTGCCCTTGAAAGGCTGTCATGCCCGGCCAGTAGCGTGGCATCGGAGCGCGTGTTTAGTGCGGCAGGAGGTATTGTAACTCCGCGGAGGGACACGACTGTCCACCCAAAGTGTGGAGAGACTCACGTTTGTGAAAATGAATCAGGCGTGGATTAGTCTGGATTTCAAACCACCAGTTCCTGACACAACTGACTAAATCCGCCATGAATCATGCCCCAAACATGTTATTAGGGACAAATGGAAGACCTCCACCTGATCCGTACATTTGTATATATATTTTTATTGAGGCTGCTGGTCGGCCGACTCATGTTTTGCACATTTTTAATGACTTATACTCTGCAGGTCGGGCCCCTCATGAATTGGGGTTTTTAAATTATTTATACTTCGCTGGACGACCGTCACATGAATTGAACCTTTTTAATGACTTATATACTCTGCTGGTCGGGCCCCTCATGAATTGGTGTTTTTAAATTATTTATACGTCGCTGGACGACTGTCACATGAATTTAAACTTTTTAATTATTTATAGTCGACCAGTTCCAGACCGATGGAATAGCAATTTTTTAAAATATTTATTTGACACGTGTTGTCCATCTCATCAATGAGGTGGACTGTTTATTTTATTGGCCACGGTTTGGCCCCCTCCTGTTTCTTACATTGTTAACTTGTTGTATCGGTCACGGTTTTGGCCACATGTTTGGTTGTCTTGTTAAGATTTTCTGTAATGTACACAGTTACGCTTGACTTGTCGACTTTCCACAATCTACTAGGTATAGCATCGCATCAAAGTTTTTTTTTTTTTTTTTTTTATAGGCTAAACCATTTCTTGGCTATAATGTCAATTTGTAGGATACGCCGCTGTAAGGCGACCTACTTTTTTGTCACTGTGTAGACATCTATTTATAGGCCGATGTTTGGCCAGAAAGATATATTTAGTAATAACCTAGCCGTTCAAGCCGCTCACTGAACACCTCGGGAATTGCTTTGTATATCTGTCGCCTTAGGGGCCGCTGTCTGGCGACATAATTTTTTGTCACTGTGTAGACATCTATTTATAGGCCGATGTTTGGCCACAAAAATATATTTAGTAATAACCTAGCCGTTCAGGCCGCTCCCTGAACACCTCGGGAATTGCTTTGTATATCTGTCGCCTTAGAGGCCGCTGTCTGAACAGCTCATGAATTGCTTTCTATATGTGTCGCCTTTGAGGCCGCTGGCTGGACAGCTGATGAATTGATTTGTATATATGTACTTATTGTCCGCTGTCCGGACAGCTCATGAATTACTTTTTGTATATAGCCTTCCAAACCACTCTCAGAATAAGTCATGATATTCATGCTGTGTATAGCCTTATAGGCCAATGGTCAATCAAGTCATGATTGTTATAGTGTGTATAGCCTTATAGGCCGCTGTCTTTACAACTTTATAATTCCATGCAGTATATAGCCCTATCGGCCACTTTCTGGCATCCAGTTGCTGTAGCCCCCATCACCACACTGTGCCACGGGCCCCTGTACCGCCTTCTTCTTACTGCTGCCAGATCCATCCTCTGCCATGTGCGCTTTGTCGTCTGCTCACGCTGCTGGGTTCCAGTTTTAAAACCTAGGCCTGTGTATGGCTTCCGAATACTGCTGCCTCCACCGCCACCCTGCGCCATGTGCCTTGTCGTCTGCTCACCTCTGCGCTGCTGGGTTCCAGTTTTTAACCTAGGCCTGTGTATGGCTTCCGAATACTGCTGCCTCCACCGCCACCCTGCGCCATGTGCCTCTGTCGTCTGCTCACGCTGCTGACGGCTTCCGCTTTTTAAACCTAGGCCTGTGTATGGCTTCCGAATACTGCTGCCTCCACCGCCACCCTGCGCCATGTGCCTCTGTCGTCTGCTCACGCTGCTGACGGCTTCCGCTTTTTAAACTAGTCCTGTGTATGTCTTCCGAATACTGCTGCCTCCACCGCCACCCTGCGCCATGTGCCACTTTCGGGTCTCCTCACACTGCTGCCAGGTCCATACTGATTCATGGCCCCCTGTACCGGCTCCTCATGAACGTGGTTCAGCGGGTTTGCATCACTTAACGGCAAATCGTTGACAAATGCTGGGACGTTCAGTGTTGTGCGCATTAAGCCAGACACCAAAGGGCAGCACAGACCTGTTATTACTCGCTCAAGCATGGCTGAACAAAACCAGTCTCTACCACAAATTGGACCCAGACCTGCCCAGGGTCTCGTAACTAGATTGCACGGAGGAGTAGAGTCCGTTATCGGAATTAAATAGACAAAACGCCACACCAAAAAGAGTGGCCATTTCCAACACTTATTCCAGAAAGAGGAACAACCCGTTTCATATACGGCCCGTAGACGTTTCACGTCTGCCACATTCAGTCGATTTAAGACGCAAGCTCCACTTCCTGTGGTCTCTGACCGTCGATATACCTTTAAGTGTCAGCTTTGAAGCTATATTCCCTCCGGAGCACTGACACTGGTGCCCTTCCGTCAACATGCCTTTAAGTTTCAGTTTTCAACCATATTCCCCACAGAAGCCAAACTCTTGGGTATCCCAGAAGCTGCTCAGCGGGTCAGGGCAATAAAGCTCCCGGTTCGCAGGTTGTTCCGTCTTATGGATGGAAGTACGACGGTATATGATCTTCTTCGCACCCACGGCATTACCTCATAGAATTTCTGCATTGCATCTGCAATCACAACGCTGACTTCCCGGATCGCCAACTCAGCCATTGGACTCTTGATAGTCGTCTCCCCACACTGCTGCTGGGGGGACTTTTTAACCTAGGCCTGTGTATGGCCTTCAATTGAAGCTGCTTCCGCTCCGCCACTCTGCCATTGGACCCACACTGCTGCTGGGGGGACTTTTTAACATAGGCCTCTGTATGGCCTTCAATTTAAGCTGCTTACGCTTCGCCACTCTCTGCCATGGGCCCCTGTACCGCCTCCTCTTGCTGCTGCCAGGTCCAGAGTGTGTCATGGGTCCCTGTACGGCCTCCCATTGCTGCTGACTTCATCGCCAGACTCTGCCATGTGCCACTTTCAGGTCTCCTTACACTGTTGGTGGGTTCCATTTTGTGATAGGGTGCTGTATGGCCTTCCATTGCTGCTGCTGCCTCCACCGCCACCCTGCGCCATGTGCCTCTGTCGTCTGCTCACGCTGCTGACGGCTTCCGCTTTTTAACCGAGGCCTGTGTTTGGCTTCCGAATACTGCTGCATCCACCGCCACCCTGCGCCATGTGTCTCTGTCGTCTGCTCACGCTGCTGACGGCTTCTGCTTTTTAACCTAGGCCTGTGTATGGCTTCAGAATAATGCTGCCTACACCGCCACCCTGCGCCATGTGCCTCTGTCGTCTGCTCACGCTGCTGCCAGGTCCATACTGATTCATGGCCCCCTGTACCGGCTCCTCATGAACGTGGTTCAGCGGGTTTGCATCACTTAACGGCAAATCGTTGACAAACGCTGGGACGTTCAGTGTTGTGCGCATTAAGCCAGACACCAAAGGGCAGCACAGACCTGTTATTACTCGCTCAAGCATGGCTGAACAAAACCAGTCTCTACCACAAATTGGACCCAGACCTGCCCAGGGTCTCGTAAGTAGATTGCACGGAGGAGTAGAGTTCGTTATTGGAATTAACTGTGAGGGACTTTTAAACCTAGGCCTGTGTATGGCCTTCAATTGAAGCTGCTTCTGCTCCGCCACTCTGCCATTGGACTCTTGATAGTCGTCTCCCCACGCTGCTGCTGGGGGGACTTTTTAACATAGGCCTCTGTATGGCTTCAATTTTAGCTGCTTACGCTCCGCCACTCTGCCATGGGCCCCTGTACCGCCCTCCTCATGCTGCTGCCAGGCCCGTAATCTGCCATGGGCCCCCGTACCGACTCCTCATGCTGCTGCCAGGCCCGTAATCTGTCATGGGCCCCTGTACCGCCTCCTCATGCTGCTGCCAGGTCCAGAGTGTGTCATGGGTCCCTGTACGGCCTCCCATTGCTGCTGTCTCCATCGCCACACTCTGCCATGTGCCACTTTCAGGTCTCCTCACACTGCTGGTGGGTTCCATTTTGTCATAGGGTGCTGTATGGCCTCCCATTGCTGCTGCCCTCCACCGCCACACTGTGGCTCCACACTCTGGTTTTGGCCCCGTGACTGCCCAAATGAGTGAAGTGTGCGGTGATTCTAAGATCGACGGCACTCATCTGCATGTCATACTGACTGACAGTATTATTTATCTTCCCCAGCAGACTCCAAGGGCATTTAAATTAAAGGTACAGTGTTCTGCACTAATATAAAGGCTCTCTGAAGCCTAGAAACACCCTTTTTATAAGTTAAATTCGCAGCGAATATATTCGGCTCAAAGCGAATTTATTCGGCGAATTCGGCGAATCAGCCGAACCGAATTTTTGAATAATTCGCTCATCTCTAATAGTGATCATGAATGTATATGGCTGAAGTGAGCAGACAGCTATCCTATTCCTGTCACACACAGTGCCCCTACCTAGTCACAGTGCCTCTTCCTGACCACACTGCCCTACCTGATTTCAGCGAGTGCCAGTATTTTTAGTGTTGTAGATAACAACAAAAAATGCTGGAAACACTGGCACTGGCTGCAATCAGCAAAGGTGGAAATACTGGAGGTATCTGTAATCACAAACTGGCTGTAATCCAGCTCTAATGTTTCTAGCATTGCTGATCATAGCCAGTGCCAGTGGTTCCAGCATATGATTGCATCCAGTGCCAGTGCTTCCAGCACTGGTGATTGCATCCAGTGCCAGTGCTTCCAGCACTGGTGATTGCATCCAGGACCAGTTCATCCAGCAATAATGATCACATCCAGTGCCAGTGTCCCCAGCATTTCTGAAAGCAGCTAGCACCAGTGTTTTTTAGCATTGTTTATTCCATCTAGTACCAGTGTTTCCAACATTGCTGACTGCAATTTTCAGTGCTACTGATTGCAGCTGGCTTCAGAGTTATCCGTATTGTTGATCACGGTCAGCACAAGTGTTCCTAGTGTTTCACAGCTATAGATAATGTTTACCTTTGTACCTTGAGTGGCTTTAAAAATTTAATTTGGCGCATAATTCTACTATCCTGGCACTTCAGGATCGCTAAAAAAGTGCTAGATAGTCAGGAAGTCAGATACCTAATTTATGGCCCTTGAAAAACCTGAAAGTGCTCCTTGGATTTTGGACTCTCTTTGTAGCTAGGCTGTAAACAAGTCTCACACACATGTGGTATCTCCATACTCAGGGAGCAGAATCTGTTTTGGCATGTAATTATAAGCATGTAATGTTGTATGTGAGAAATAGCCTAGTAAATTGACAATTGTGTGTAAGAAATACACAATAATTTTAATTTTCTTTATTCTTTATTTTCTAAAAACGTGTAGCAAAAAAATAGGTCTTTAAAAGATTCAACATGCCTCTTGTCAAATACTTTGGGTTGTCTGCTTTCCACAATGTGGTCTATTTTGTTTTTTCTACAGTCTTGGAACTTCAGGGTCCCCAAAAATATGTAGTCATGAAATAAGATCCGTGATTTATGCCCTTTAAAGGTATTAAGGTGCTCTTTGGACTTTGATCCACTCTATACATATGTGGTATCCTCATACTTGAAAAGAGTAGAAGAATGTGTTTTGGAAAGTTAAATATTCATGCAATGTTTGGTGAAATAACTGGTTGAAATGACAACTTTGTGAAAACAAATATTATTTACTTTTTAATTTTTATAAATAAGTGTAGCACCAAATTTGATCTTTAAAATGCTTTTCCTATAAAAAGTAGGACACTTAGCTATTATGATAAGACCACTTCAAATATCCTTGCAGCTATACTTTTTATCTGTAGGAGTTTTGTAACTTTCTTGATACCTACGTCATAAGGAAAAAAGGCATCTTGCGTCTTTATGATCATTGTAGGGTTGACTGAATTCTGTTTCCATCCACTAGCAATATGCTCAAACTGAATTTTTTTTTTTTTTTTTTTATGAATGCCCTTCACTGATGAACCCTATTTTTAACATAGGCCTTAAGGCAATTGTCTCACTTGCATTGACCTTGGGACGATGTGATTTCACATGAAACTCGGAAAGGCTAACCTGGAAACTCCTAAATCATTTGTGAGAAGAAAATGTACAAACACTGTTTATCCCACCATAATATTATTGAAGAAATAGAAAACATGAAAGGAGCAAAGGGAAACCTAAGACATATTTTAGGAGACCGAGCCATTCCCCTCTTGGTGTTTAAAACAGCATAATTCTATGTCTGTTCTGCCTCAGTCCCCATGAATTTCACTGCCACAGGATACACTATTGAAATATATCAAAGGTGTTGGTAGCTCTGCAGGAACAATCCATTTCTCATCTGCAAATCCAGCTCAGTAGAGAATGTCAGATTTGGCATGCAATCTTTCAATTTATTTGAAGTCTGCTTCCTCTCTGGACAACAAAAGTAACTCATCTTATTTGTTTCTTAAATGTGCCTTTTTCAGCCTATAGCATTTAAAGGAAAAAAATTTAATTTTGGAAGCAAATACATCACATTTGCTATATTGTCTGTGCATTCTGTATAAACAATTGATATCCTCTTGTAGCCATTTAATACAAATAATTTTTTTTCATCTAAATCAATCTTGTGACCTGTTGATCCTTAGGCATACTGTAAAAAAATATGTCAATATGTATCAGGTATATGAAAAAATACAAGGAAAAAAAGAAAGAAAGAAAAAGTTAAGCTTTTTGAAAATGTACCAATAATTTATAATGCAAGAACATGAATCTTCCATTCAAATGTGGGAAAGTGCACATTTATATACACCCATTCGCTACAGCCTATTGCCTGTAATAGTTTTCATCTTGGGGTGATGCAGACTAACATTTCCATCTTTGGGTCTTGTACTTGGTATATGGTGGGGAGAAAAATTAGGATGAGTGTCAGTCCCTTTAGTGTTTTACCTTACATTGCTAACCTCAATTCTAGAAGAGAGGGTTAATGGGTGCAGGATTTCCAAAAAAAAACACACTGAAATAGGACAGGTATTCTGACATTTTTAATAGTAGCAGTCACTTGAAGAGCAGTCTCTTTTTAATTGCTGCCCCTTTGAGAGCAGCCTGACAGAACTATGATCCTGTAAGTGCTGTTACAGTCTTTCTTGAGAGCAGTCAAAGACACCTTGATTTATGGAAAGTTAATTCTTCTTACATTTTTCGATGTCCAACAATATCTTCTACCCAGCTCTTCTGCAAAACTCTTCAGCGAAAAAATTATTTGCAAGTCCAGATCCCTCTAGATCTCTGTATACTCCAGCACGCAGTTAAGTTCTAGGCTCAGCACAAGCCCCTGATTGAGGCTAAGCCCAATTCAAGAAACCTCTCGGCACATATCCTCTCAGAAGTCTAGGGGTGGGGTTATCTACCTCTCACCTTGTGCCTAGGGAGATGACAGCAGATCTGGATTGCATATACTTTGGGGTGCTTGGGGGTGTAGTACCACCCCCAAAGGAGCCACTTGACAACATTGGGTTCTCTGTTTTGTGTATTAACTCCAAAAACAGCCTTGGCCCCTCTAACACATTTGTTGACTAAAAATCACTGCAAGCATGGATAAATACACAAGTGTATAATACCTTTAAACTGTCTGTGGGTTACTACCAGTTAATAGATACACACCCGTTTAGTGTATGTTTTTAGTCTATTGATACAGGTTAAGATAAATGGCAAATTGAACATAAATGTGCACACAACGGATTATAAACATAACTATTTAAAAATGGCAAAAGTTAGATTTTACAGTCCTAATTAGAATCAGGAGGGTAAGTTAATAAAATCAGGAATAAACAATATTGGTAAACATTAAACACAGTATAAATGATGATAACACTACAGTAGCTTAGAGTGCACTACAAGGGATTGGCTGGGATGCAATGTCTCTTAAGAGGTACCTCTTTAATTAAAAAAAAAAAAAAAAACACAAGGCAGTAACTGCTATGGACAGTCTTTAGTCCTGACTCTTCAGCGTGCTAAGTGTTAAGGCATTCAATAAGACCTGCAGGAGTATTAGATCTATGGAGTAACTGGAAGGTAGTTTCTAAT